TTTTTTTTTTTTTCCTTTCTTTCTCTGCGAACCGATACCACCACCCTTTTAATTCACTCTGTTAATTCTGTGACGATCGTTCTTTGATTTTTCACCCGTTCTATTTAAATGGCGATATTGCGGAACACGTGGGTGAGCTAACTATCGCCCTGTTTTCAGTTTTTACTTTGTTATTCCGCTTGCGTAATAGTTGTGGATTTTTTACAAGTGCAGCCGGAAGATTGGAGCATCATTTTCTTTTTGGACTAATCTTCGCGTGCAATTTTCTGAGAAAAACACTACGAAATAAGATAAATGAAATAGAATGATGATGTAATAAAATAAAATACAATATGATATGTGAAATACACACGATGAAAGGAAACAATAAGATATGAATACAATACTGTAAATGGTCTCATTTCTCAAATCCAGTTTTTAAATTTAAACTATTTACGTTTATATTTATTTCACTTTAATTTCCGACTAAATGACTTGATCTTGTTGTATTCCTTTCGTTTTAGAATATAATGAAAGTACCGATGTTGTTGATCTTAAAAAATTCCGGGAAAGGATTTTGGGGAAGTACTTAGAAAATTACGGAATAAAATCTGGAATAACACTCGTATACTTAATGAATGTACCAAGATGTACTATTCAAAATGGGCATGCTATTTAAGATATTAACGTACCATTCATGAATCTGAATTCTATCAATTATGTAGTAACCAAATATACTTCTCAAAGGAATTTTTTGTGTTGCGATATACCATTGAAATTTCACACTTTTTTAATATTTATTAAAAACATATACTTCCGCTCAAAAGTCTCAGAACAAGTACTCCTACAAAGTATCATAAAATACACATAAAATTTGATCTTACAAAACAAATATATCGTACACTAAAAATAAAATGTGTTCTAGGATTTTTGAGCTGCAGTGTACGTAACTTATTGAATTCCAGAGGATCAAGGAAATCATGCTCCAAATTTTTCAACAGAAAATATATGTGTACACGTGTGTTCTCAATTTTTCATAAATTCTTCCTACCAGTTTCTCTCTTCCATTATCCAGTACTTAAATCATCTTCGAGGCCCGGATAATTAGGATCGACGTTCGAGCATAAACATTTCTTTTTCGCGCGGTTGAACGCTTCTTAATTATTTTTGCAAAAGTTCCCGTGACTTGGCAGCAATAAACGGGCCGTACTAGGTCAGCCCGCCGGGAAATTCCTCGAAGGGGTTCCTTTCTCCTTTATTAACGTCCCACGAGTCCTTTGTGTTACATCTCTGCCTTTTTATTTAACATTACTTTGCCATCGTTTAACGTCATCTCCCTGCATTTCAGCAGACAAGATTCACTTTAAAACACTTTTCCTGTTTCTCCTCTTAATCCTTCTTTGCGCTTCTATTAATATCGAGTTTCAATCGAGTTTACCATTTCGTTCCCCTTTTTATAGTATGATTCACCTTTTAGCATTAGCTACTGAAGAGCGCAACAAGTTCCCATTGTAACCTAAACGGCGAATTCAGATTCGATTGTTTTACTTGTTCTTCTTTTCTCTCCAAATGACGCGAGTAGGTGGTCGAAAGTGGTTGTACCGGAGATAACAGTAACAGTTTTATTTCTCGGTCAAGTGGCCGTGTACCGGCGATTTCCTGTAGATCAATACGGTTCGCCCGCGATAATTAAACTATTAGTTGCGGGAACTGCGAGACACGATCGTTTACGCTCTGCTTTTACGGATATTTCTTTTCTTTTCTTTTTTTTTTCTTTTTTTTGTTCAACCGAACCAGTGTGTTGCTTTAGATTTCATAGTGACAAATTTGGTTTCTCGGCCCCTATCTACTAAACGCAGAGGATTATTAATCTTTAAGATGTTTATAATTTGATTTGCGCTACGTGTAAAATTGTAGAGAAGGATGCTTGGGTTTTTACGCGTTTAATTCTGTATTTTTAATTTGCCGAAATGAGATGATAATCTCAACGAAACTATCGTAGAAACAAGTACAGAATATAATTTAAAAGATGATTTTTAATTGCCTTTAAGTATGAATAATTATTTTAAATAATAGTAAATAAATATACTATAATTATATACTATGCATTATTACAAATAAGCAATTATTTTAATCATTTCTAAATATATTCGACTATCTCAATTATTTTTCATTTATTATTTAATTAATTGCATTAAAATTGTACTTTACATTTGATCGTATTTCGTATTTGTTTCTCAAAAATTACGTCAAACAAGCTGAAGCGATATTATTTGAAATCAAATAAAATGTCTGTGTCATTTCGGTAATTGTTCCTCAAATATTTCATTCGAATAATACCCAAGCCTGTTTCCTACCTCACAGTGAGAAAACATGAATCTTCGTCCAATTCCATTGATCGTGAAAATAAAGGAAAGATCTAAAATCAAAAAACACCCGAGAGATTTTATATAATTCCATTGTTAAAAGATTCTAGATCCCAAGATATCGGACGGAATTGTTCTATCAATACCAGCGTCTTTCTATCATTTTCCTAGACTTTATGTTGAATCCTCTCAGATCCCGTCTCATCAAACTCTTCTTAGCGTCATCCACCCACGGGAAGATGGAATCTCAAAAAGTACGTCGGCGTGTTAGTATCGCGATATCGGCGATTACGAGCGTAACGTTGTTCGAGCGTCGAATGCCGAAGTGCCAATTAGAAACATCGACGCGTTCCATTCACTTTCGCCGATGAAAACGAAGAGAGCCAGTTGGAAAGCAACGAAAGTAAGATGCATGAAGCTCCGTCCTTATTGAAGGAACTTACGTGCAACTTCTTGTCGTCGCACGTGCCAATTTTCCAACAAACAGGAAGGAGAATTTTGTCTACACCGAAGCAATATAAAGTGAGTCGAAGGAATAAATACTGGGAGTAAAATTTTTAGTTCGCTCGATCCGATCAACTGACAGTCGAAAAATTGGCGACTGATTTCATCGATTGATCGGTCGAAGAATCGGTTGATGTTGAATTAATCGTCAATCGGTGATTAAAAATAATTAATCATCAATTCACCGTCAAATTAATTTTTTAATAACCAATAACAAAGACATTTATTTCACAAATCGATAGATATGTAGATTTTATTAAGGCTCGTATAAAAGTTTGAACAAAACTTGTATAAAATACAAAAAGAATTTCAACAGTTAATCGATCAAATTTTTGTCAAACTCTGCATGTGTGTTTGTTTCCATTATTAACGTGTACAGTAGAACTCCACT